CCTGGGGACGCATGAGGACGACCCTACAGACGGGATGAAATCTTTTTTTTTTTTTTTGCCAAACAAACTTCGACTTTTTAAGACGGGGTGAGATCCAAAAAGGTACAGGAAACAACGAATTAAGAAGAACAAAAGAAATCAAGGAGAGGGCGACGACAGGAGGATGAAGTCCAGGGCGCATACACATAAACACGACCGAGCAGTCGCGCACACAACCACGAAGAGAGAGAGAGAGCGAGAGAGAGAGAGAGAGAATTTAACCGATTTCTTGGACGAGATTCACGCTCACTTTGTGCTTTAAACGACGCGAGTGTAGTTCCTGAGGAGCGCGATGAAGGAGGTTGGTCATTCTTGGTGGAAATCGGAAGCGGAAGAACAGGGAGGAAAGGGGGATGGGATGAGGAGGGGGAGGTGCTGATACTTACTGTCCAAATTGCTTGTCCTTCTTTAGGTCCAAGATCGTGGGGAATTCCCAAGAAACCCCCCGTTGCGACGGCGAGGCGCCCCGACAACCACCAAAGGATGCTGCCTTTCGCTCCTTTCGTCCTGCATCATCCATTATGTGACGCTTCTCCTCCCCCTCCCCTCCCCCCTCTCCCTCCTCCACCACCTCCTCCCCCTCCCTCTCCCCCTCGACCCCCTCTCTAAATCGCAGAGATTCAGCCTGCTGCGCAGCCGGCGACACGTCTGTTGCAGACACCCCAGAGCTCACCAAACAGGCCATCACCTCTGCCACCACCAAGCCCTCGCTGACCAGCCGACCCTGCCAGAAAGGTTCTTCCGTGCTGCATGTGATTTCATCCCCACCTCCAAACGAAGATACTCTCTCTTCTTCTTCCTCCATCCTCGACTTTTTGCGACCAGCTTGTGGCTGCTGCTGATGCCGCAGGGCGAGCGGCGGCGTGGACACGTGCTGCTCGTCGTGCTGACTTGGACATTCGTCATTGTAGTCTTCAAGGCGAACGTTTCTCTCTCCCCCTCCCTCCCCCCACCTCTCTTCGGTTTTGCCCGTACTCTCTGCCTCTTCGCTACGCTTTGCCAACGGCGTTCCCTGGCCCTCCGCCGACCCTCCCGCAGTACCCCTACAAGAGCTTCCCGTCGCTGGCGGGAGCTGAATGATCCTCCGAACGACCCTGGTGGTGGTCCCGCTCCCGACCTGCTCCCGCAACGGGGGAGAACTTCGATCATCCTCCACTTCCTTGCCAATCTCTCCCCGCGCACTGCTCCCCGTAGCCCTCCCCCCCGGCGTTTTTCTGCCAACACCGCTTTCTACGACCTCCCCCTCTCCGCCACCGGCGCATCCATCGTACCAGGTCAGCTTGCCGGACCGCAAGTTGTCCGTCGCCCACCCTCTTGCTTCCTGGCGGCTGGACGGTGCGGGAATCCCTCCTCCTCCTCCTCCTCCTCCTCTTCCTTCGACGCAATCAAGCGGATCCATAGGGTCCGAAGAGGAAGCCGGGGGCGCAGCGACACCTGCTCCTACAGCTGCTCTCTGAAAGGCTAACGACAACTGGCGATCTCGATCCCGATCCCGATCCCGCTCCCGATTACGACGTCGCTCCCACCCGTGCGGGCCGCCATCCTCTTCGCTGCCGCTCACCCAGTCGTCTTCATGGCCTTCGTCATCATCCATACCTTCCTCCTCCACCCCCGGGTCCTGCGACCCATTACCCGCGAACACACCACCTCGACTCCCCGTGCCACTTCTATACGGCCACCTGCTGCGTTCCGCAGTGGTGGCCTCAAGTCTTCTCCCCCCGCCTCCCCTCTGATGCGCATCTCCCCCTCCTCTCATAGGTGCGGGAGTGACACATCCTCCTCCCCCTCCCCCCGCCCCCCCCCAATCCCCTACCCCCACCCCCTTTTCGTTCTCTACCCCCTTGTACGCCACTCGGTGCGTTCGTCTAAGCCATACCTCCTCCACGTACTCTCCTCTCTCCACCACCACATCCCCCTCCCTCCCCGTGCCGCGAACAGCACATCGACTGGCCGATAAACGGGACAGCTTCCCTACTGCCCTTCCTCTATCCCCCCCTCCTGCTCCATCCACCTCTCTCGCCCTCTTCCCGTACTCGTTCATCCCACCCCTTGGAGAAGGACCTGTTTGCCAGTACCTCCTCTCCTCCTCCCTGCCGCCACTCCTATTGCTCAGTCCCGATCCGCTTCCCCCCTCTTCTCGTTCTTCTCCTCCTTTCCACTCTGTTCTCTCCGCCACCTTATTATTACGGTAAGGCCGAGGGCTCAAGCCATCTCCGGGTGCCGACCCATTTGCACTGGGGTACTCCCTCCTCCCTCCACTGCTATCGATGAACCTTCCCCCGCCGGTGTCTCTTCTCCCCGTGTTGCGACCACACACCTGAGGTCGGGGTCCCAGCCCGCTCCCGCTACCGCTGCCACCGCCTCCTTCCCCCCTCCTTCCCCTCGGGCCATCGTCCATTCCCATCCTTCCACTTTCAACTCGGACTCCGCCCAGGTTACTACCACCATACCTTCCAGACGGAAGGTCGCTTCGCTCAGCCCCAGCTGGGATCCCGGCGATCTGCCTACCCCACTCCATTCTCTCCTCCTTCCTCTGCATCTCGAATCTCTCCTCTTCCGACCTGCTGCTGCAAATCCTCCAGTCCGCTCTCTTCTCCTCCCTCCTCACGTACTCCCTGGCGGCCCCCTCCCCTCTCCCACTCTCTCTCACGGACACCAAAGACGAGGCCGTACCCTCTCTTCTCCCCCCTTCCTTCAGGCTAGTCGATCTGCGCAACAGACGATCTTCTTGTGAGCTTGCACCATTCCCGCCGCTCCCTCCTCCCGCATTCCTGCAAGAAGAGGATTCATGCAGACGGCCAGTCACTACCCTCCCCCCCCCTTCCTCCCTTCTAGACCCTGCACGGAGATCCTCCCATCGCCGCTCGGACGAAAGAACAACTACCCTTCTCCCTAACGCCATTTCTTCATCCTCGTCTTCTGCTGCCCGTTTGTCACCAGGCTTCGTGCTCTTGCCTCCCCCCACAACGTTTTCCTCTCCGCTTGCCACTCCCATCTCTCCCCGAGGAGTAGGGGTGCGCTCCTCCCTCTTCCGATGGTAGTGGCTCTCTGGCTGTAAGGGGGCTGTGGACTTCGCCTGCACATGCTTGCTAGCGCCGATACTGCTAAGAATGGCGGATCTTTCCTTCGGTCTCTTCACAATGATCTCTGCACTACCAGATATCCCTCCTTCCGACTCCACAACTTTGACGGAAAGCTTTTTCGCTGACCTCAATACCGCTCTATTACTAGCGTTAATCTCTCCTCCTCCTCCTGCTCCTCCTCCTCCTGCTGCTGCTACTGCTCCCGTGCACCGCGTCGCAACACCGGCGACCTCATCCTCCATCTCTTCCTCCTCCTCGGCTTCCTCTTCCTCTCCCGCCACCATCCCGGCAAATTTCTCCTCCACCATCGCTGCATCCTCCCTTTCATCCTCCTGCTGTCGCCTTTTCCGGCGCTGTCGGATACGAATCTCTCCACCCTCGACCTCCTCCGCTCTCTCACGTGCGCTCGCCGCTTTCTCGCTCTTTTGTTCGATATTACTAATGCCCGAACACACAGCCTGCTGTTTCGTATCGGCTGCGGACTTCCCGCCAGTCTTACCTCTCGTCTCCACCTTCTCCTCCCCAGGCTTTCCGCTTGATTCTCCCTGGCCCCCCTGTCTAGACTCCCCCCAGTGGGGATTATCCATCCTTCCCGACGAGTTTAACCTCTCCTTGTGGCCCGATGAGCCGCCCCCGCCCCCACCGCCGCCGCCAGTTTTGCTCCGCCGGCTCTCGTCGGCAACAACACGTGCCGCCTCCGTCCGCAAATGTTGTTCACCAACTTTGGGGGAACTGTGCTTATTTCGCTTTTGCGCGTCCCCTCTTGGCGTTTCCCCTTCTTCTTCTTTGAATACGTCTCCTTTTCCTTTGCTCGGCTTTCCCTTTCCTCCCTCCCCCGCTTCCTCGTTTTGTGATTGACGAGGGAGAAGAAGAACAGGAGGGGAGAGACGACCGTTGCACTTTGCCACCTTACTCCAAACTCCCTCCTCGGGAGTAGGAGTCGCCACTCGGGAAGGCCGACTACTACTAGGGTCCACCTCCTCGACACCTTCACCCACTTCGGCTCCACTCTCTTCTGTCGGTGGCTGCCTGTCGCCACTGTCTGCTTCTGCCGCCTTCGGCTGCTGCTGCTGCTGTTTCGAGACACCGCTCGCTCCTGTTGTTTTCACTTGCACCTTCATTTCCGGCAATCTCCGTCTTTCATGCAGGAGAGACCCGTTCTCCCTGCGTACCTTTGCCCCCGCCGCCGCCGCCGCGGTCGCCACTGTCTTCGAACCGTCGACGGGCTCTACTACCCGCTCTTCGGTCAAATCACCGGCAGCACCGGCGGCGTCGGATTGCAGCTTCTCTGACATGCTAATCTTGGCGATTCCTGCCGGCTCGCGCTGGCGCTTTTCCCCCGGCGGCGAGGTCGCCGCTGCCGATGTTCCCAACGCAACCGGCGTTGACCCTAACGTAGGGGAGATGACCTTTTTCTCGACTTCCACAACCCTTCCGGCCATCTCTCCTCCGCTCCCCTCTCCACTTCCGCAGGCGACATCGTCCTTCGACGAACGCAGGAGCCCCTTGTGATCCTGCTGCTCCATCAGGAGCACCCCCTCCTCTTCTTCTGGTGCCTGCCCGCCAAGGGAGGATCGCTGCGGAGGGAGAGGAAGAGAGACAAAGGAAGGCATCCCATCGGTAATTAGCGAGGCAACGACCATTGCCGAAGTCTTCTTCTTCTCATCGACCTGATCCACCACATTCATCAAATCCAAGAAAGTATGCTTCCTCCCTGTTGTAATCATCGTAGATATCTGGGAATTTTTCTCGATCGGCATGATCTTTTCCGTCCCATCGTCACATACGGCGGCGGCGGCGGCGGCGGCGATGACGTCCGCATTTCTTGCTCTTCGTCCTATGCCCTTCTCCTTATCGTCGTCCTCCTTTGTCGAACCCCTTGAGTCAGGCGCTGCTTGGCTTGGAGTCACAATCACAGCAGCAGCCGTCGGCGAGACAAGAGGATCGTCGGCTGTGCAAAATGGCACGAAAATGGGAGTGGCTGGGAGAGGAGAAACCACTCCTTCACGATCTCCATAATGGGGACCAGTCAGCAGCTGCTCAGTCTCATCCACCTCATCCACCTCGTCCCCCTTATCGTCGTCAGTATCTATGACGACGACCATCATCGATGACGATGGGCCGCCGACAGCCTCCGGCTTGTTGCGTCTCGCACCCCTCTCGATCGTCTTGATTGTGGCCCCCGACAGGCCCATTTCTTGGGAGGAAACCAGATTGACGAAATCGGATGGGGTGGAATCGACGGCCAGGAGAGCGGAGGAAGAAGAAAAGGAGGGAGTCGGAAGAGAGACATCGTCTTTCTTCGCCGGAATACCGGCAATCTCGAGCCTCGTGGATACAGATGAAGGCAACAGAAGCTCTACTTGGGAGCATAACCGATGCTGGACCTGATGTTCGCGGTCGTTGAAAGCAAGGCGATGAAGGGAGGAAGAGGGTGACGGGGAGGGCGCGGAATTGACGCCTTTATAAGCACCGGGAGCGATGGGTTGAAACGCGCTGCTGCGAAAGGCTTTCTTGGGTGGAAAGCCCAAAGCGGCAGAGGCAAGAGATGCCAGAGGAGGAGGAGCAGGAGGCAAGGGTGCCAGAGGCCTCAGTGGAGTAACGGGTGTCAAAGCCGCAGGCCCATTAAACCACGAATCTCGCTTCCTGTTCTCTTCGATCGTCGGGGTCGCGATAGTCGGGCTATCATTGCGCTGACGTTCTTCTTCTTCTAGCTCTTCGGATACACTCTTCGGTTTCATCTCTCGCCCTCCTCGTCGTCTTCCCCCTCCACCTCCTCCTCCTCCTCCTCCACCCTCTGTTCCGTCAACCCCATCGCCCTTGGGAAAAGCTTTAACCCCTGCGACGGGTTTAACTCCTGCAAGCTCATCGGTCCCGATTGCTTCCGCACTAACAACAATCCCAACATCGTCCAGGGGTCCATCTTTCTCCCCCGAATTTTCGCACGGAAGCTCATTCAGGTCGAACATCTCTCTCTCTCTCTCTCTCTCTCTCTCTCTCTCTCTCTCTCTCTCTCACACACACACACACACACACACACACACACACACAAATGAAACACAGTCGCGTATACCGTCGGATACGAAGCCTTGGAACATTGGCCTACCCAGTTTTAGCAGGGTTGTGAGCGACTGCCAAGAGAAGTTTCTCTGCTTTGTCGACTTCAGATCCCTTAACACTTCGCTGAACGATGCCGATTCGATCTACTCCAAGCTGCCACTCGCTCATCATGCTCTGGGTCCTATCTCAATGGGGGACCGTCGTGGCGGGCAATTTCATCCTACCAGCATCATCACGGGTTCCATGTTCCCTCGTTTCAAAGCTGAAAACGCAGCATCCACGGGCATCACCCCACTCCGCTTCATTCTCCCATCTATAGCAATTCATAGACGGTGTTTTCACCACACTTGAGTGGGTCTGTGCGTGCGGGTGATACCGGCAGCATTCTGCTGCCGTCGCCGGCTCGTTTCTCCCTGAAGCTCCGGATCCTTGTCGTCCCGAATACACTCCACACCCAGAGGAGGGAGCTCCCCACACCCTTCAACCTCCTACAGTGTCAACACTGCTCAACTTCAGCCGCCTTGTCTCTTCTTCCGATTGACTGCTGAAGGTCGGCATTCGCATTCCAGTCGATGCTACCGTCACCTTCATCGATGGCAATCATCTGCAATCGACCACCATTACGATTGTCGCGGCGATACGGTTTTACGCCACGTGGCAACCGTGTCCGCTGCACGACAGAGATCTTGCGTTTCTCACGACAAGCAACCTGACAACTCTGCCATTGTTATCGGACTGAGGACCACCCGCATTACGCCACGTGGCAACTGTGTGGGCGGAGACACGTGGAAACCAGGTCCTCGACTAATTGTCGCCTTGCAGCAGTGCGGTGACGCGTGATGAGGAATGTTTAAGCCGTACGAATGACATGGGCAGGTGCCCGTCGATTGCCGCAAAACAGAGGTGTTATGCTCCAGAAGAGAGGAAAATGCATTGCTCACCAATCAATCGCTGTCGACACCCGGTACTCTCTCCCTCTCTCCCTCTCCCCCTCTCTCTCTCTCTCTGTCTTCCCCTCCCCCCCTCCCCCTCTCCCCCTCCTCCCCCCCCCCGTGTTTGTGTTGGCGGTGAGCGTATCTCCCCACCCTTTCGGGATCTTATCTTGAAATTACTGGCGTAGGGGAATCGAATCATTTGGACGGCGGAGGTGGTGCGGATGCGAAGGGAGGTCGGTGCGCAGCCCGACGATTGATAAGGCATGGCCTGTGCCGCTCGTGCCCGCAACACGCAGCGGTAAGTAACATCCCCGCTCCCCACAGTTGGCCGCCCCTTCCATCTCGAACACACGTAATTACCGCTCACGCGACGGCTGCCAGGCTGTCGTAATGACTGTGATCAAGATTCAGTTCTTTGTCTCCTGCTTGGTTAAGCGCAAGAGGGGGGACCGAGAAAGGGAACGCTTTTCCGAGTCCGCCCGCAATCGTCCCCTCATTATGAGCCAGCAACAGGTCACGACCAAACCTGGAGCGGGGCAGCTGCGGCCGAAGCCGGAGCCGAAGGTGTGGCCGAACCTAGGGCGGCAGCTGCGGCGTTGGTGACGGCGACGACAGCAGCGGTAAGACAGATGAAGCCCCCTTTGTACCGTTGCCACACATTCAATCCCGCATTATCTTTCTTCAATACGTTTTCTTTGGCCGGATTAGGAAACTTGTAGGGTTCACTGTTATGCTCCGTGACAACGTATAGACCAGCCACCCCCCATCTCATGGGAGAAGCTCACTGTATAAGCTGACAAACAGTCCGCGTACCGTTCTTACTCCGAGGTACTCCGAGGTACTTCGAGGTCAAGCCGGCCACAGCAGCTACCGGTAGTCCCACACGGTCTTTCCTCCTTACTCTCTGCTCTCTCCCGCCACCGACGAAGAAGAAGAGGAATCGCCGGCATCTCCGTCGTGTAGTGAACCAATGAAACGGAAGGAGGAACACCGATCAGGAGGAAGAGCTAAAAGAGGAGCTCGACAGGGAAGGAGACGAAAGAAAGGAGAGCAGAACGCAGAAGGCGGCTGGGACAAAGACAAACGGCCGACAGGCGCGAGGCACCGATTGCTACTGCTGCTGCAGCTTCAGCTGCGGATTTTCGGTTAAAGAATATCGTATTATATAATACTGTAAGACAGTATGTCGTAGATTGATCAGTATTCTATGCGGACCAACCGTACCACGTAGTAGTCCTTCATATGCGAACGCGGGAACCTGAAAATGGCGGTGGTGGCATCGCGCCCGAAATTCACAAAAGGACTTCAGCGCGCCACTGGCGGAATCACGTGTACGATGTTCTCTCCCTTCCTCCCTCCTCGCGATGCTCTTTCGCTCTCGCTCTCTCGGTTCCTCGGATCACCTTTCATTCCCGCTTTCCAATTTCCGAGACTCAGCTCTTCCCTCTGTCCGGAGGCGAGAGAAGAGAAAAAAATATAGCCTCTTCTTCTTTCTTCGGTCCATTCAGTCATCGGTTGCCCGGAAGGTTCTCCCAGATCGGCCCGTCTTCCGAACCGGACGGCCGGGGGCGGACTGTGTCGCCACGGCTCGAAGCCCCAAGCGGAGGTCCCGTCATCCTCGGTCAGGTCCGGAGCTGGTCCGAGCCCGGGGGACAAGTCCTAAGCTCAGGAATTCTTCGTTCCTGGCCGTCGATCTCTGAGAATTACGGCCGCAAATGAAGGACGCGGACAAGTCGGACTTGGAGCCAGATGACGTTCTGGCGGTTTGGAGCCAGACGACGTTCTGGCGGGGTTTTGTTGAGCCTCGGTTTCCACCGTCCGCGAAAGCAGAATAAAGCCATGGCGTGCTCCATTTTGCACATCCGGGGGGTAGTGTGGTGGCGAGGCCCTGGGTCTCGCGGAAGTACGCTGGACTCTCGAAAATTTTCAGGAGTCCTTACAGAGCTGCCAGACTCTCAAAACGAGCAAAAATTCCTGTCAAAGCTCCACTTGCTCCTGAAGGCAAAATTCCCTAACTTCAAGAGCACTAGTGTCCACCTGGCCCTGGTCCCATCAGCCAAGAGGATTGGATTTCATTCCGGAATCTGGACCTGTGTGCGGACTCATGAAGAGAATTGGGCTTGATCTGTTTTTCTGCATCTCTGCGCAAAGCGCATCCAGGTTCATGAATTAAACCCAATCCTCTTTGCTAATGGGACCAGGCCCTGGGACTCCAGGCCAACTCTTAGGAACGCCCTTCCGAGGACAACCCAGAAAAACATGGTGTTGAAGCTGGGAACTCTAGAGTGCCTCTGACAGCAGTACGTTTCCCTGTATGTTTCCTAGCCATTCTTTCTGAGATGCAGCATGGCAGCACACACCGCAGACTCTAAGAAAATGGATGGATAACGCGGTTTTCAAGAGTCCATTTCGAGAGCAACCATTTTTTTTTTGGTTTTTTTTTTTCCCTCCAGTGCTAGTGGTGGTGGTGAGAGCAGACACCACTAGCACCTGGGGAGAGGCTCCATCTATTGGTGGGGAGCATCACGTGCTGGAAAACAGGTCCAGTGTCCCATTAGTTACTCAAGGATTGATAAGGAATCTTTGAATTCTCAACAAGAGAGAAGTGGAATTCAATGAACTTACATCTCTGGACTGCCCCTTGTCCCACARGGAATTGAGTGAAGTTTTCTCTGTGGTAGAAAAGATTTCACATGTACCGCCTCTTGTCTTATACCTTTGAGTATTGACTTTAATATTGAGAAATAGAGTATGCCATGCTAAGGTTCGTTATATCAGAAAATTCCACAATCAACAATTTATTCTAGAAAATTCATTATAGAATAAATACATATATTCTCTTAACATAAGTAATTAAATATATTCTGTATTATCCTATAATCTAGTTTAGAGTAAAAAAATATCGTTTTTGGCTTATATGTAGAAAATAAACCTAAACGTTAATTGAACTAACACCATGGAAACGATGTTTTTACTTCGTACGGCAATGGGCAATTTATTACTCACAGCTTCTTTTCAACTTACATTATTTAAATTTTTATAATACTAACTTTTTTGCATTTTATCTAATACTATATGTATATTTTGTCTATACTATATGTATATAATATCTTATGTCTATATCTTCTATCTATTCTATGTTTACTTTTATTAATAGTTTAAAAAATTATAGTCAAGAATCTTTTCGAAGAATGATTCGATTTTGCTATGTTATTAAATTAATCTTATTATTTTATTATATTATTTTTTTATCTTGTGTTTAGTTACGATACTTTATACTTTTTTTATAAGAGTTTGCTTCATTGTTGTTTTGTCGCTTCACACATTGATAATCAATTTATGTTATGGAAAAGAATTTTTTCACCTTATACCTAGATAATTGAATTTACAGAAAAAAAATTTGGAGGCTATCAGGACAAAAGCCTTGAGAAACCCCTGCCAGCATTGATTACTCGGGAAACCAGAGGATTGACTGAGGAGGTTAATGAAAAAAAGGAGAGAACCTCTTCGCTCTGCGCCAAGCGCCGGATATCTGCTACTACAACCTTGTTCCTCCCCCCCCCTCGTTGACTGTGCTTTTTTTTTGGGGTAGGAAGCATCTTTCTTTTTATTCCCTCTATCCCTTTCTTTGGGTTTTCACCAAAGGCGTACGTAGGGATCGACATGTATCACTTCCAAAAAAATCCTCAAGCATCATTTCCAGGAGGTTTCCAGCTGGCCCCCACAAATAGTTCGAAGACGACGGCATCTCAGCAAGAGGGGAAGGCAGCGTTGCCAGGGGCTTTGGTGCCTCCCGGGCCCATGCTGTCATCCCCCTCCCCTCCTTGACCATAGTCAAGGATGAGTATCCAGGGGTCATAAGGTTAACATATGAGGCATTCCGCGGCCTGCTCAGTCAATCCCCTGGTATCGAAGGTAATCAATGATGACATACACTCCTTCCTTCTTATTGTTCAGGGACACTGGACCCGATTTCCAACAGGCATTGTTTCCCACCAATAGATGGAGCAAATTTCCAACAAAAAAAGAGTAGGAAGCATCATCTGCTGGAAACGTATTGCTGTCAGACCCACT